AAAAACACTTGCGCCATCTCCCCCTACCTTGCCATCACATCGGCCAGTCCGCCCATCCAAGCTCCGGAACCCAGTGGGATTCGGCTCTCGCTCCCGAGGGCGTATGATGGTACCGCTGCCGGGTGTCAGGGGTTCCTCCTGCAGGTGGACCTATTCCTGGCCACCGTACACCCGGTGCCCTCGGGACACGAGAGCGTTTCCGCCCTCATCTCCTGTCTCACCGGCAAGGCGTTGGAGTGGGCCAACGCCGAATGGAGGAGGATAGACGCCGCCACGATCACATACGCAGAGTTCTCCCGCCGCTTCAGGGCTGTGTTCGACCATCCACCTGAGGGGAAAAGCGGCGGGGGAGCGTGCTATTCTAACCTCCGGCAGGGGAGGAGGAGCGCCCAGGAATTTGCACTGGAGTTCCGGACTCTAGCGGCTGATGCAGGGTGGAATGAGCGGGGCCCTCATCGATCATTATCGTTGTAGTCTTCGGGAGGACGGTCCGCGAGAGCTGGCCTGCAGGGATACTAGTCTCACGTTCGACCAGTTGGTGGACATGTCCATCCGGCTGGACACCCTGCTGCCACCCGCGGACGTTCCGAGTGGGGTTCGTCCATTCCACCCTCCAGCACCTCCGGCCGTAGCCCTATGGAGCTCGGGGGTGCTGTGCGCTAGAGAGAAGAGGGGAAGGAGCACGAGGGGGGCCATCCCCTGCACCAACTGTGGCCGTGGGGAGGACACACCGCGGCCAGGTGTTGGGGAGGGTCTCCTAGGGGAGAGGACGGCAGGCCCTGCACTGGGGAGTCCTTCCAGGTGAGTAGGCGTCCCACTTACCCAGAGCTCTCTGTTGTGCACTTCTGTATACCTGTGCGATTTCCACAGGTTGTACCTCATTCCCAGCATAAGGCGCTAGTAGATTCAGGCGGCAGCTGGGAATTTTGTTGATCGTAAATGTTGTTTAGAGTTAGGGATTCCCCCTACTTCCTGTTGACATCCCATTTCCTGTTCATGCCCTAGATAGCCGTCCTTGGGATCCGGGTTGATCAGGGAAGTCACAGCGCCACTTAGGATGTGTACGCAGGGGGGTCATGAGGAGACTATCCAGCTATATCTTATCGACTCTCCTGCGTATCCGGTGGTGCTGGGTATTCCCTGGTTGAGTACCCATGATCCCTCTATTTCGTGGCAAGAGAGGGCTCTTACGGAGTGGTCTGCCCAGTGTGAGAGGAGATGTTTGGGTGTTTCCGTGGGGGGCGACCTCGGTGGAGAGTCCAAACCAGGTGTCCTCACTGCGCATTCCCAATGAATATGAGGATTTGGCACTGTGTTTAGTAAATCGAGGGCGACACGTTTGCCTCCTCATAGACAGGGGGATTGTGCGATAGACCTCCAGGCAGGAGCAGCGCTTCCGCGGAGCCATGTGTATCCTCTGTCCCAAGAGGAGAAGCGGGCTATGGAGACTTACATAGCCGAATCTCTAAGACAAGGACACATACGGCCCTCCACTTCTCCTGCGTCCTCGAGCTTCTTTTTGTGAAGAAAAAGGATGGAGGGTTGCGCCCGTGCATAGATTACCGTAGTCTCAATCAGATCACTGTGAAGTACAGTTATCCACTCCCTCTGATTGCGACCATGACGGAGTCATTGCACGGAGCCCGTTTCTTCACGAAACTGGATCTCAGGAGCGCGTATAACTTGGTGCGCATTAGGGAGGGCGATGAATGGAAAACGGCATTTAGTACCACCTCGGGTCATTACGAGTATCTCGTCATGCCATACGGGTTGATGAATGCTCCTTCAGTCTTCCAATCCTTCTTGGATGAAATTTTCAGGGACATGCAGGGGCAGGGTGTGGTCGTGTACATAGATGACATCCTGGTTTTACTCGCCTACCCGAGACGAGCATGTAGCCCTGGTGCGTCGTGTGTTGGGTAGGCTGTTGGAGCACGACCTGTATGTCAAGGCAGAGAAATGTCTGTTTTTCCAGGAGTCGGTCTCCTTTCTGGGTTATCAGTTTTCCGCGTCAGGGGTGAAGATGGAGGTTGACCGGGTGTCAGCCGTGCGTAATTGGCAAACCCCAACCACCGTGAAAGAGGTGCAGCGGTTCTTGGGTTTTGCGAATTACTACCGGAGGTTTATCCGGGGTTTTTGGACAGGTGGCAGCTCCCATAACGTCTCTTCTGAAGGGGGGGTCCGGTGCGATTGCAGTGGTCAGCGGAGGCGGAGAGGGCATTTGGGAGACTGAAGGCCCTGTTTACCTCGGCTCCAGTGCTTGCGCATCCGGATCCCGCCTTACCATTCCAGGTAGAGGTAGACGCGTCTGAGGCCGGTATAGGGGCCGTGCTATCACAACGGTCCCGGTACGCCACCTAAACTCCGCCCCTGTGCCTTCTACTCTAAAAAGCTCAGCCCGGCGGAGCGGAATTATGATGTAGGAGACAGGGAGCTGTTAGCCGTGGTTCAAGCCCTAAAGGTGTGGAGACATTGGCTTGAGGGGGCTCAACACCCTTTTCTCATTTTGACTGACCACCGTAACCTGGAGTACATTCGGGCAGCTAGGAGACTGAACCCTCGCCAGGCTCGGTGGAACATGTTTTCTTACCCGGTTTGTATTTAAAATCACGTACATCCCTGGGTCCCAGAACGGTAAGGCAGACGCCCTGTCCCGGCGGTATGACACAGAGGAGAGGTCCGTTGAGCCCACTTCCATACTGCCGGAGTCTTGTCTAGTGGCAACCGGTAGTGTGGGAGGTCGATGCTGAAATCGAGCGGGCGTTGCGTACCGACCCTAGCCCTCCACAGTGTCTGGTGGGTCGGACGTACGTTCCGCTCGAGGTTCGGGATCGACTTATTTATTGGGCTCACACGTCACCCTCCTCTGGACATCCAGGTATTGGCCGGACAGTGCACTGCCTTAGCGCTAAGTACTGGTGGCCAACGTTAGCCAGGGATGTGAGGGTTTATGTCTCCTCCTGTTCGGTGTGCGCCCAGTGTAAGGCGCCCAGACATCTGCCCAGGGATAAGTTACAACCCCTGCCCGTTCC